GCCTGGGAGCATCCTACCGTACCTTTCTTCAGTTTTTAGGGTTTCGATCTCTCCCTCCCTCCTTCCTTCCTCCCCTCCTTCCCCTTCTTTTACATCTGACGGTCTAGGTCAGCCGGAATGTATTTTGATGTTCTGACATGAGCCTTAAATCTCATCTTTCCCCAATCAACTCATTTACCTCTAATCAACTAGCTGTCCTTTTTCAACAGAAAAAGGACAGCTAGTTGATTAGAGGTAAAATGAGTTTATTTTGCCTACTTTTATTTTAAGTTTTTACATATGATTTATGTATCTGTTTATGCACCAGTAACTCACTGTTAATTATGGCAGTATTTTACTATGTTTATTAGCCATTTGATATCTTTCGTGAGGTCTTTTATTCTCCCCCCACCCCCATTGGATTGTCTGACTTTCTTGTATTGCTTTTTAGGAGCTCTTTACATATTCTGGTATGATGCATACCTGGTCGTTTTTGAGTGAGTGCTGGCCTTTTATTTTGGTGTCCCTGGGTGGACATTTTCTATGAACAATTGCGAAAATACTTTGAGGTTCCGGTTAATATTATCTTTCTCCAGCAAGCATCATGGCAGGCAGTCGGGGCAGGCTACCTTAGTCTACGCAGGGCTAAAGCTGCATGTTGATCTTTGTGGGGGCCACTCAGTTTTCAGGTCCTCCTCCTAGAGTTTTCTGATGGAAAAGCTTGTGGGCCCCCAGCTTCTGTTTTTGCGTCTCCTCAGCCCGAGGTTGCCGACGGCTCTGCCGACCTCTGTCCCCTCTGTCCCCCCTTCTTTCCTTGGCTTCTCTTCCTTTTCTCCCCGGCTTTGTTCAGATGCAACTGACATGTAACATTACATTAGTTTAGGGTGCACGACGCGATGATCTGATAGACGTAAATATTCCTAAATGGTTGCCGCAATAAGTTTAGTTAATCTCTTCCACCTCACGTAGTCATAAAATTGGTGTGTGCGATGAGCACGTTTGAGGTCTGCTCCCTAAAATACAGTACCATCGACTACAGTCACCCTGTCGTGCGTTCCATTCCCAGGACTTGTTTATCTTAAAACCGCAAGTTTGTGCCTTCGGTCCCTTCGCCCATTTCCCCCACCCTCTGGCTTCTCATCCTTTCAACCGCCACTTTCGAATCGACAGAACCTCAGAGGGAAAGATGATGCTGTCTGTCAGAGTCACCTCTTTGGAGTGTCCCTTCACTCCAAGAGCTTGGCTCCCGAGTCCTCTCTGCCTCGTAGCTCTGTGATGACATCAAACAGATCAAAAATTTTTTTTCTGTCTGGCTCCCCCATTGCTCTCTCTGGAGGGTTAGTCTGGAACAAGCTAGTCCACCATCGTCTGAAGTGGAAGTCGCCAGTGAGATCAGATTTGAATCTTAGAAAGATCATGCCAGCCGGTGTAGAGAATGCTTTTGTTGGCATTAGGTCGGGGGATGAGCTGGAGAAGGGAGACTCATTAGAGGTGCTTGCGGTGAGGGGCCTGGTAAGGTGGTGACGTCTGGAGCTCGGGCGGCAGCCGTGAAAGAGGATTTGAGGGATGTTTGTTCATTTATTCACCCCGTATTTATGGAGCCTGCCTTGGGCCAGGTCCTGGGGACTGAGATCCTGGTTAAGTGATAGAACCCGCTGATGGCTGACCGGCGAATGAAAGGGAGAAAAGCATCCAGCTTGACTCCAGGTTTCCAGGCACTGGGGGTTCCGGGGCGAGGAAGGCGATGAGCTCACGTGAGGGTAGGCCTTCGATCTGCTTTGTTCACCACGCGGTAGGTGCTCACTAAATACACACTGGGAGAACTTCCTGGGAGATGAAGAGCCGGTGCCCTCGAGACAGTCTGATCTCCAAGGAGAGGTTGGGGCTTGGGCATCCCCCCACAGACGTGGTATTTGAGACTGTGGGATGGATGAAGTGGCTAAGGGAGGACAAGTGGGACCCAGGACAAAGGCCTGGGGAGCCCCAGCATTTAAAGGGCTATGGGGAGCTACGGATGGGCAGCCAGTGAGGTGGAAGGGAACTAGGCAGATGAGCGTTGTGAAAATCAGGGCAGAAAGGAGGCGTGGTGGTCACCGGGGTGAGATACCCCCGGGAGGCCAGGCTCCAAACTGACCATTGGGACGTAATAACAAGATCCTGGGGTTCTTGGCACAAGCCTGGTGGGGCTGGCGCCCAGTGGGAGTGAGGGGGGAACTGAGCAGGAAGCCAGGAGGCTCAGGGTCCAGGGGACATGGCGGTGTAAGCTGACAAGGAGAGCAGAGGGACGGGGGGAGTACAGTGGGCCCTGAGAGGGGGCAGGGGCCCAGACTCCAGGGTGTCAGGAGCCGGGGGGTGCAGGTGGCCACAGAGTTCTATGTCTGATGTCTTTTTCTCAGACCCTCATGGAAGTTTCCCTTCAGAGTGAAAGGAAGAAGTTTCAAATGGGAGTTTGCCAGCGGGGAGAGTTAGCTGGTGTCGAGATCAGGAGTTTTCTGGGGCACCTCTGTCTGTGTCCTAGGGGTCGTCCTTCAGCCCCCAACAAATGGATGCAGCTGTGGAGAGGGCAGCTTGTCAGCGTATTCAGTTCTGTCCCTGTGGATATGATGGAAGCACAGTGGGACCAGACATGAGTTGGGAGAAGGGTAATGAAGCTGGGAAAGCGCTGGAGGGCTGGGGGGGGGGGGCAGCTCCAGAGGGTCCCGCGAGGAAGCCTCTTGTGGCTTCTTGTGAATATGATCTTGTCCCCGCCTTCTGTCGGGTTACTGCTGGTCCACGGAAAACCCATGACCAAGTTCTTTTATTTACCCTAGTCAGTTTTCAGTTGATTCTCTTAGGTTTTCTTAAAGGAGCTGTCAGATCTTCTGAAATAAGCCTAATCCGGGTATCACCTTCCCAGTTTACACGCCTTGTGTTTCTGTTTTGTATAATTCCATGGTCAAGAGTAAACGATGGGCAAACTGGATTTCCTGGTTTTGTTCTTAATTGGCTGATAGCATAAAGTGAATTTGGTGGGTTTTCAGTCTCTCCTGAACCCCTGAGATTCACTCTTCTTTCAACAAATCTCCCTGGCCTGGGGCTTTGCATCCTTTGAGGTAATTCTTTAATGACAATTGAAATTTATTCTTTGGTCTATTTTTTGAACATACTCTTGAGTCATCTTTTCTGTCCGATATTTTATTATGAAAAGTTTCAAAGGACCTGAGCGTCAGTGATGTGTGAGATGACATAAGGCAGTCTACCTAACACGTGTGCCATTGGTGTCCTGAAAAGATGGGTGGAGGGGACAGAAAAAAAAATATTTGCAGAGATAATAGGTAAAAGCCGAAGAGTCGATTAGTTGCAAAGGGGAGAAGGCAACTTTTTGAGTGATGGAAATGTTTTAATTCATAATCGTAGTGTTGGTACAACCTAGTACACATGTTAAAACTCATTGAATTATATTGATTGGTAAACTTTATTGTATGTAAATTTTACCTCCATAAAAGTTATGATTTCCTCTCCTCTCCCCCAAAATTTCAAACATGTAACAAAGTTAAAAGGCTTATAGGAACACACGTATGTCCAGTATATTAATTTTCTATTGCTGCATATCAAATTCCCACAAAATTAGTGGCTCCAAATCAGTGTCTCTGTGTCAGGGGTCTGGCCAGGCGTGGCTCGGTTCTCTGCTCAGGGTCTTCCCAGACTGCAGTGAAGACGTTGGCCGGGGCTTTGGTTTCTGAGGCTCGGGGTCTCTTCTTCCAAGCTCAGGTGGTTGTTGGTAGACTTCATCTTCTTATGCTTTTAGGAGTGAGGTCCTGTCTTCTTTCTAGCTGTCAGCCAAAGGGTGCTCTTAGCCCCTAGAGGCCACCCACAATTCCTTGCCAGGTGGCCCTCTCACAATGGCAATGTAATTCGTCACAGCCAGTTAAGGAGGGTCTCTCTTTCTCCATAATCAGCTAAGAGGGACTCTTCTAAAACCTGACGAGATCATGGGATTGATCCTATCACCTTTGCCATAGTCTTTTGGTTAGAAGCCAATCATTGATTCTGTCTACACTCAAGGGGAGGGGATTACATGAGAACTGGACTCACTAGGAGTCAGCTTGGGGTGTGTCTGCGCCCCACCCCCCCAAAGATTCTACCATCAACCTTTTACTGTACCTGCATTACCATTTCCTCTTTGCCTCTCTGTCCCTGGGTCATCTCAAAGTTTATTTTATTACAAATGTATTTGTTCATCAGGATGTTGAAAATTACTAGTACGTAACAGTCAATTATACCCACGTAGTTATATCTCTGTATCAGCTGTCGTTACACCTTTTCCATCCTTTGATTTTGTGGGATTTTTTTCCTCTTACTTAGATTTATCAGAAATTGGCCACTCGAGTTTTCTTCCGGAGAACCAGATCTCAGATTGTATCAATTCTTTTGTTTTTCTGCTTTCTAGTGAATTTATTTTTTGCTTTTGTTTATATTATTTTCCTTTTACTTACTGTCCTTTGCTTTTTTTTTTAACTTCTAGGGTTTATTGACTAGGGCATTTATAGTCATTCTTTCTTTTTGAATAGTGAAAGCATGTAAAGCTGTTTTCTGTTTGATTTTATTGCAATCAGAGGACATGATCTATAATTTCAACATTTTGGAATTTATTAAGGCTTTCTTTATTGCTTAGAATATGGTAAATTTTCATAACTATCTCATGGCCATTTGAAAGGAAGGTCTGTTGCCTCTTGATTGGTTACAACATCCAATATACATCCGTTATCCAATTATCTGAAAGAATCCTAGAGTTTTTTGGGGGGTGGTGGTGATTATGAAGTATTTGAACATTTAGAGTCTTCTATCGAAATATTTCAAGTGAAATGAAATCATGTCTGTCATTTTCTTCAAAGTAATCTAGTTGCTTGGGGAGAGGGAAGCAGGTACAGATTTATTTGAAACAAGGTTGTATGTGTGTTGTTAATATTTATGGCTGAGAGGTGGGTACATGGTTCATGGTACTGTCATCTCTACTTTTCTGTGTGGTTGAAAATTTCCGTAAGAAAAAGTTTGTGTGTGTCTCTCACTAATTTCCACTTCTGTAATTATATCATTCAAATTTTCCCTGTCCTTATTTTTTTGTCTACTTGATCATCACAAATCAATAGTCAAATGTTACATACACTCCATAATTATGACTTCGTTCATTTTTCTTGCATTTTTAACAATTTTGCCTTGTTCGTTTTATTTTTGCTTTATATATTTTGATGTTTTATTATGACATCTTTAAAGTTTATGACTTATGAACTTGTGGTACATGAAAGGAAACAGAGGACCACTCCAATTAGGTTAATTCCATGAGGGTTTATAAATCGATCGTTTACAAGCTATGGGCAGGATATGGGGAAACCACAAGTATCATTGCTTGTCCTGACATGTAACAACAGGGATCATTGCTTTCCTTGGGCAGAGGAGGGAGGAGGGCGAGAGGAGGCAGGAACCTGGGGGCAGGGAGCAGTGAGGGAAGGACGCCTGCTGGGAGGGGACCTTGGGTGAAGACCTAGACCACCGAAAGCAACTCCTTCGGAGGGAGCCTGGGAATAAACATCTCGACCTTTCTCCTCTCCCTCCCTGTGACCCTCTGCCAGGGTTTCTTGTGGCCTAGCCCAAGAAGAAATTAGTGGCCATGGGAGCCTGTGGATGCCGTCTACAGGGTCAGCCTCCTGGGGCAGGAAACAGGTAGAGAAGCAGAAGAAGGGTCTGGAGGGGCAAATCGATGAACCTGCTCAGCCATCCTCTTGTTTCAGCGTTTAAAAGATGCTGTTCCATTGTCCTCTGGGTGGCACTGTTTCTAGCAAGAAGTTTGTTGTCATTCTCATCTTCATTCTGTACATAACTTGTCTTCTTTCTCTCTGACTGCTTTTAGTATTTTCTCTTTATCACTGATTTTCAGCAATTTGATTATGGTGTACCTCGGTGTGGTTTTCTTTATGTTCATCCTGCTTGGTGTTCATTGAGATTCTGGGATTTCTGGGTTTCTACATATGAAATTTGAAAAAATCTTAAGCAGTTATTTTTTCAATTATATTTTCTATCACCCTCTCTCCTACCCTGGACTCCAACTACATGCATATTAGGCCACTGGGTATAATACACACAACCTAGGGTAAAGCCCCGCAGGTCCCTGAGCTCCTGTCCATGGTTTCTTTGTCTTTTATTCTTTCTGAACTTCGGTTTGGATGGTTTCTTTTGCTGTCGTCGAGTTTACTTATCTTTCTTTTTGGGTTTTGAATGGTTCCTGTTTCGATATAAAACACTCTTTGCATAGATCTATACTTTAACTAATTTGAATATTACTATTCCTGCCTCTCTTTTCAACTTTTTTTATCGTGATAAAATATAACATAAAATTTACTACCTTAACTACCATCTTTAATAGTTTACTACTATTAAATATATTCATAATAATGTGCAATTATCACCACCACCCATCTCCAGAAGTCTTTCCATCTTGTAAACTGGAAATTCTGACCCCATTAAACAGCAACTCGTCTTCCCTGCTCCCCTCAAGGCCTGCACCCACCATTCTACTTTCTGTCTCTATGAATCTCACTAAATAACTCATACATGTGGGATAATATAGTCGTTTTCTTCTTGTGACTAAAGTATTTCACTTATCATAATGCCCTCAAGGTTCATCCATTGTCCTAGCATGTATCAGAACTTGCTTCCTTTTTAAGGATAAGGGGGGTGTGTGTGTGTGTGTGTGTGTAATATTACATTTTGCTTATCCACTCATCTATCAGTGGGCACTTGGGTTACTCCCATGTTTTCACTGTTGTGAATAGGGCTGCTGTGAACATGGGTATACAAATATCTCTTCGAGACCCTGCTTTCATTTCTCTTTGGTCTATACCTAGAAATGGAATTGCAGGATCACGCGATAATTTTATTTTAATTATTTTTTTGAGGAACCACTGTGCTGTTTTCAGCAGATACACCGTTTCATGTTCCCACAGTGCACAAGGGTTCTAATTTCTCTACATCCTCTCAACACTTGTTATTTTTTCTGTTTTGTTTTTGTTTTTGTTTTTGAGAGTAGCTGTTCTAAATGGTATGAGGTGGTATCTTGTGGGTTTAATTTGATATCCCTGCTTTCTGTCCGTATGTTTTAGTTGTATTTACCCCTTTTATTTTTAAATTACTTTCTGTCATTTCTTTAGGTGAAAGGAGCACCTCTTCGGTTTATTTTTTAGCCTAGCCTTAGAGCTGTTCTCGTTCAAATATCTAAACCCTTTTTGCATTTACTCTTATAACTGTTGTGTTTCATCTTGTTCTCAATACGTTACAGTTTTCTCTTTATTCCTATTTTTCTGTATAAACATTTCTTTTGTCATGATTTGGAAGGTAGGGGATGTTTTTATTCTAGTAGCAATTACCTTGAAGCTATTCAAAGACATTCTTAAGCTGGATGCACATAAATAAAGGAATAATTTAAATATACATATCAAAATTAGTAATAGGGAAATAATTCTTGACTTCTGGTGGGAAAGACGAAGGTATATCATTTCCATTTGTTTTCTTTCTGCCTGTTTTGTTTGTTTTTTTAAATGGATGTGATTGGACAGAGTACAACATCATGGTTTTGTTTGTATCTGTTTTTTCTCCTTCAGAATTGACGATCTCTTTCAAAAGAATAAGCGATTCTCATAACCCGTTTTGTAGCCTTCCGTCAGTTGTGGGAGTTATGAGGCATCTCCAGTCCATGATTTCTTTCTCACGCAAACAACAGCTCCCCGAGGCGGGCGAGGGGCCAGAATCTATCCTCCAAGGACAGGGATGTGGCTCTAGCATTTGGTTTTGCAGAGAAGCCAGCAGCCACCCCAGTTTTCTTCCTTTGAAGTTAATCTGATTATTTTCCTAGATGCTTGTGGATTCCCTTCTTTATCGTTCAAGTTTGGAAACTATTCTAATATCACGTATTAATCATCTTTCCATGTTTATCTCTGTTCTTTTTCCCTGTTCTGCTCAACAGCCTTGGGCTGGTCTTCTATTTCAACATTATGATTTTTTTTTCTTAACCAATCCACAATTTACTGCCTTATTTTTCCTTTTTTTTTTTTTTTTTTTAAACAACAGCTCTATTGAGATATTCATATACCATACAAGTTCATCTATTTAAAGGGTACGTGGTTTTTTAATATAGTCATAGGGCTGTGCAACTGTCACCAGCGTCAATTTTAGAACATTTCATTACTCCAAATTTTAGAACAAACAGCAATTCACCCCTCCCATTTGTCTCTCCAGCACTAGGCTACCACTAACCTTGTTTCTCTGTAGATTGGCCTCTTCTGAACATTTCGTATAAATGGAATCATGTAATGTGTGGTCTTTTGCGACTGGCTTCTTTCATTCAGCGTGTTTTTAAGGTTCATACCTGGGGTAGCATGTATCAGTACTTCATTCCTTCATATTGCCGAATAATATTTTACTATATGGATATACCACATATCATTTATCCATTCATCAGCCGATGAGCAGTTAGTTAGTTCCATGTGTTTGCTTTAGGAATAATATTGCCGTGAACATTCATGTACACGTTTCTGTGTGGTTTTTTATTTCTCTTGGGTATACACTTGGGAGTGGAATTGCTGGGTCATATAAATACTGTATGTTTAACCTCATGAGAAACCGCCAGGCTGTTTTCCAGAGGGCTGCACCCTTTTCCGTTCCAATTTCTCCGCATCTTCACCAACACTTGGTATTATCTGCCTTTTGGACACTAGCCACCCGACACTAGAAGGTAATTTAGCCACTTTATGACAAAGATCACGTTTTCTCTAGTGTCTGGTAACATGCACCGCATTTCCATGTGAGGTCTCATCAGAAACACCTTTAACATTCCTATTTCTAGCAACATTCTGTTCGTGATCATGTATGTATTCCTTCATAGAAGCTTTCTCTGCTGTACTTCACTTCCTCTGAGCTGTCACCGGAATCACTTTTAATGCCCATGTTATTGCCAAGTTTCTGGTGGTTGCCAGCAATCCTTGGCGTTCCTTGGCTTACAGCTGCCTCATCCTAATCCCTGTCTCTGTGTCACCTGGCCTTCTTCCCTGTGCGTGTCTCTGTCATCACCTGGCCTTCTTCCCTGTGCGTGTCTCTGTCGTCACCTGGCCTTCTTCCCTGTGTGTGTCTCTGTCGTCACCTGGCCTTCTTCCCTGTGGGTATCTCTGTGTCACCTGGCTGTTTTCCTTGTGGGTTTCTCTGTCGTCACCTGGCCTTCTTCCCTGTGGGTATCTCTGTGTCACCTGGCTGTTTCACTGTAGGTGTCTCTGTCGTCACATGGCCTTCTTGAAAGGACGCCAGTTGTTGGATTGGGGCCCACTCTAATAACCTCGATTACGTCTGCAAAGACCCTATTTCCAAATAAAGCCGCATTCACAGCGATCGGGGGCTAGGACCTCAGTATGTCTTTTTGGGGGACACATTCGGTTCATAACAGATACTTTATGTCTTTGTAAGAATTTTTCTGTTTCATCTAAGTTATCTAATTTGTTGGCATACAATTGTTCATAATAGTCCCTTATAATCCTTTTTATTTCTACAGCTTAGTAGTAACGTCCTTCTTTCGCTCTTGATTTTAATAATTTGAGCTTTTTTTCCTTGTCAGTCTAGCAAATTCTTCGTGAATTCTGTTAATCTTTTCAAAGACCTAACTTTTGATTTCATTGCTTTTCTTTATTTTCCTTTCTCTATTTTATTAATTTCTACTCGAATTTTTACTGTTCCTTTCCTTCTGCTCACTTTAAGTTTAGTCTGCTCTTCTTTTTCCTGTATCTTAAGGTGGAAGTTTAGGTTATTGATTGGAGCTCTTTCTTCTTTTCAGATATTGGCATTCATTCGTAGCTATAAAATTTCCTTTTTATTTTTCATTTTTAATGGACAACTTTGTCTCCAAGGCTTTGCGTAGGAAAAAAAAAAACTAGAACAAACTAGCAGCTTTTTATTAAGGGTGTTTTATTGCTTCTTCCTCTCTCTGGGCATGTTTTGTCTGTGGCTTGAGCCTCGATAGGACGGTCACTGGTGAGTTGACACATCTTCCTGGGCTCCTTAGTGGAGGATTGAAGGGGAAGTGGTTCCATGGAGGTGGCCCATATGCTGCTCATAACGTGGGCTTGGTCGGGGTGGTCACGGCTAATGATGTGGTGGTGGCCGACGCACTCTGGGCCTCTCTGGGCCCTTACACGACACTTTGGTGTCCCCAGCCAGTGTTCTCGGCTGTGTTTCTTTTTCCTTTTTTTAAAAATGGCATTTTTAAAATAAAGTAATCTATGCCATGTGTGTGAGCGTGATGCAGTGGAGTCTTGCTGTATAGTTTGCGCCACAATCTGTACTCAGAGGTAGCTTTTCCACAGCACAGAAAACAAAAGACACGTTAGATAAGATACATAGTTAACACTTCTAACACTTCTAACTGGGTGGGTGGGTGAAAAGGACTGCGCCGAGAACTTTTTACAAACAAGGGGCCGCCGGCCCCTGCTCAGTGTTCCCAGAGGTCCTGCTCTAAGCCCCAGGCTGGGGGCCCTCCATGGCCCAGAAAATGCCCCATAAACCTGCTCCCCTGCCTGCCCCCCGCCCTGGGTTGATCCCCCAGCCCGGCTTGGAGGTGTGGTGACTGCGGTGTCTCTTTCTCTGTAGGGCGTCTGTGAGGAAATGACCTACGAGGAAATTCAAGATCATTATCCACTGGAGTTTGCCCTGCGAGACCAGGACAAGTACCGGTACCGGTACCCCAAAGGGGAGGTAGGTAGAATTGGGGGGCTTAGTCCCAGCCGCCTGCTGCCTGCCTATGGCTGAGGGCTCTGCAGGCTCTGTGGGGGCTCCGTGGGCTGCAGGGGGGGCCTGGCCTCAGGGAGGCCATGCTGGGCGCATGTGTCATCGCCACCACTTCCCAGCTGTGCGGCCCCGGCTGCAGACCCTCCTTGGGCTTGGGTAGTGGGTGGACAGTGCTGTACAGGGCTCTCAGCCCGAGACCCGTTGGATCCCTGCTCCCCAGCTTTGCTTTTCCCCTTCCCAGGGGTACCACAGGGTGGTCTTACCCTCCCTGCAGCTTCAAATACCACCCCCAGTCCTGAAGCCAGACCTAGGGAGACTTTCCCCAGATGACTTGTGGCCACCAGAAGCCACCTGCACTTGTCACTTTCCTCAGACGGGCTCGCGCCTCAGCCCAGGCCCCAGGGCAGAAGCAGAGCCACCTTTGACTCTGGTATCTCCCACTTCCAGGAGGTGGCCTGGGGCAGTGGCCAAATGAAAATACCCCCCACAGACACACGTGTGTGCACACACAGAGTTACACGCGTAGAAGCCCCCACCCCCGGGCGGCAGGCCCTTGTGTTGTCCTTTCCTCAGGAGCAGGACTGCTCCGGGCAGAGTTAGTTATTCCGCACGTCGTGCTGTGGGGCAGAACTCTGAGCACCAGCCCGATAGCAGTGAGAAGAAACAAAACGCCCAGCTGCTCAGCTTTGAGAATCCAGGGGAGAGAATTAGTTCAGAAATCAGTTTCCAGAGTAACGCATTTGGGACTTCCCCCGGGTACTGGTATTGCTCCGGCTTAGTGTGGGGGACCTTTTCGTGGAGGGCTGCTCATTGCGTGTGGAGTGGGCTGGACCCCCTCAGGCTCGGTCTCCTGGCGGAAATCTCCAGACCCACTGGACACAGGGGTTGGGCCAGGGCTCCTGTGGCTCCTCAGAGTCCTTCGTGCCACCTGGGTGTCTCCGACAGGTTGCACTCTGGAAGTTTCGGGGGTCTTTGCTCTCTCCCCCACCCTGGCCCCTCCTGTGCACTCTGTCTGCTGTGGGCTGGAAGGAGGCAGCGTCTTTTCCATTCGTTGCCAGTTGCTAGCACGTGAATTCCAGCAGCTGCGGGTTCAGCAAAGGGTCTTGTGAGTGGGCGCGGAGGTGGCCCCTTGAGATGGCAGCTTGAGGCCCAGCCCTTCCTTCTCAGTCCTACCAGGACCTGGCCCTGGGCTGGGGGAGGTGATCTCTTTCCCAGACGGCCAGTCCTCAGTCCCCAGCTTCCCGCTCAAGGTGACATCTCACTGTCACAGTCCCGTAGGGGCAGGCCCTGCACCAAGCTGCCCACACCCATGCCCTCAGGAGCCAGGCTTGAGGAAACCTGGCCATAGCCTCAAGAACGGTGAGGGACTCCAGCAGCGAGGAGGTGGGTCTACCCAGCAGTCTCCGTCTCCACCCCCGGAGCTGGGCCTGAGGCCCCCTTCCCACTCGCCTTTGCAGTCCTACGAGGACCTGGTCCAGCGACTCGAGCCTGTCATCATGGAACTGGAGAGGCAAGAGAATGTGCTCGTCATCTGCCACCAGGCTGTGATGCGCTGTCTCCTGGCCTATTTCCTCGACAAGGCTGCAGGTGTGGGCCCTGTCCCCAGGGAGGTGGAATGTGTGTGTGTGTGTGAGAGCGAGAGAGGGACTGTCACCCAGGCAACCCTGGTGTGCCAGCCCTCCCCGTCTGTGTCCACAGAACAGCTGCCCTACCTCAGGTGTCCGCTGCACACAGTCCTGAAGCTGACCCCTGTGGCTTATGGTAAGGCAGCTTCCTGCGCGCTGACCTGGTTGCTAGACTCCGGCTGTCTACGGGGTTCCATGATTTCCCGCTGACCCCGTGACGATTCACTGGGAGGTCGCTCCTCCTGCCACCCACCACCTTTCCTAGTGTACTTCTAAGTGTTTTTGTTTCTGTTTCTGTGGCCGCGGGAAGCCTCCCAGATGATCCTTTCTTAACCATTACCCGCTCAAACGAGGGGCTTTTCCACTGGTTTTTCCAAAACACCCACAAAGCCCCACGGCCCCCAGGACCTAGACCTTAAAATATTCTGGGTGCAGGGTGCTTTGAGTCCCACCTCTGCTTTTGGCTGTGCAGGCGAAAACCTCAGGCAACTTCTAATGAGCTCCTCACCTTCAGCACAGGCTACCAGGCCCCTTTGGGCTCTCGGGAGGATGATGACAAAGCTCAATGGCAGCTGATGTCATTCTAGTGACCCCCATCGCACTGAGTGCCTGGCACGATGTTGAGTCCACCTTGTGTGTGACAGGGTTGGGCGTGGGTGGTTTGCAGGCCCTGAAGACTGAGCCTAATGACCGCGTATTGAGTGGGGACTGTTGCTCCTGGGACCACCCTCAGCCCCCAAGGTAGGCGGCCCAGGTCCTCAGCGTGGCCCTGCGTGGGTCTCTGGACTTCTCACCGAGGCTGTGCTGGGCGGTGGCACTTGATAAGTACGTGCCTGACAAGGTGCCTCGTCCTTCCTCACGGGCCCCCCAGAGCTGCCTAAGGCAGTGGGTGGAAGAGGGTGAGGCTGAGACACCTGTTCTGTCCACAATCCCCCAGGCCTCCTCCTGAGAGAAGGTTCTACCCTCTGTGGCTCCGGCTGCTTTTCAGGAAGGGGCACGGATTTGCATTTTCCTTTTGGCAGGTTGTAAATTGGAGTCTATATTCCTGAACGTGGAGGCTGTGAATACTCATCGGGACAGGCCCCAGGTACCAATGGCATCACTGCTGGGGTGGCCTCAGGTTCTGGGGTGGGGGGGGTGTCCAAACAGCACCATCCGGGGCCAGGCCCTGCTGGGGCCCCTGCCACAGTGAGCTTGAGTTCCCTGCCCAGGCAGCACTCCCTTCTGCAGGGTGAGGCGCTGCCCTTGGGGTGCAAAAGTCCCTGGAGCTGGGCCGCCAAGCCAGGAACTACCTGAGCCTGGGTGTGGCTGGCTTCCCAGCAGCCCCACCATAGAGGTCTGAGCCAAGGAAGGAGTCCCAGCTGGGGAAGAGGCTGGAGGCCTGCAGAGTGGCAGGTGGGGGTTCTTTAAGGCTCCCCCAGCAGCCCAGGTCTCATGAGCACTTTTTCCAACTCAAGCACCTTTAACAATGAAAATGGCGTTGTGTTGATTGGGGAGAGGGCCATGCGTTTGCTGAGGGGGTCTCGGCACTAGGCAGAGACCTTCCTGCAGGAGAGCAGCTCGCCACCCTGTGTTCCCCCAGCACCTGTTTAAGATAGAAGTTCCTCGAAGTGTGGCCCAGAATCACTTTCTGTGCCCACATGGGGTTCTCCTGCCAGGTCGGTTACCTTTCCCACTGAGGCCAAGGGCAGGACCGCCCCTTCCAGACCCCATCACTAGCGTCTGCTGTACCAGGAAGGCTCCTGGGGCCTCAGCTGTGCCTGTCGTCACTAATGCTGGGCCCTGGGTCTCTGCCAAGAGTGTGAGTCTTGGGCTGCTCACCTACAGGGTGGCTGTAAGCCCCTGGGGCAGAGATGTGTGGGTGTGTCTTCCCAAAGCCGCCACCCCTCACCAGGGCCAGTCCCCCATGCAGGCCTCTGGGGCTGACCCCCCAGGTCCAGAGAGCACGAGCCAGCATAGCCTTGGGAGAGGCAAATTAATGCTGGCCACAGGTTCCCAGATGGTTGTCCCTTTTGGTTGAGCAGGATCCCTGGGTCCTGGCCCATCCTTGAGGGGCAGGCTGCAGCGGAAGAGGGGCCCTCAGGAAGCCTGCCCCCAAGAACTGTACCTGCCCCTCCAACTGCTATGGCCTGTCCTGTGAGCAGGGGGTGTGGCCATGGTCTCCCTCCCTGCAGATCTGGGAATGTCACGGTTGCATAGGGCTGCAGCCTAGTTTGTCGGTGACTTGCTTTGTCAGGTGATGGTTATGCAGCTGGGAAGATGGGCCACCAGGTTTGGAGGGTCAGATAGGACAGTCTCACAGAGTTTGTTCTTTAGGCCTGAGGTGCCCCAAGCACAGCTGGCCGTAGACAGAACGTGGCAGGGGCCGTCTGCAGCTAAGGGCTTCTGGAAATCCAGGGGAGACGTGTGCCCCAGCTCTGAGAACAGAGACCAGGCTGCTGGGGCTACCTCTGACACCTGTCCGCTGACACTCAGAGCCAGGAGGGGGGCACCCGCAGGAGCTGGTCTCCTTGCCTGCCCCCACTGATGAGGATTCAAGCCCCAGCCAGGTGTTCCTCCCTCCTGACCCAGACCTGAGGCAGGTGGTGGGCACAGCCTGACCTGCTTGCAAGGAGCAAGTGGGGTTACCCTCGGCCCCTACTTTTATTCTTATGTGTGTCCATCAGCCATGTGTCCAGAGGTCCTTGAGCCCTCACTCTTAGTGGAGGTTGGGGTCTGCAGGCCTGCAGCCGGGGGGTCCTCGGGGTGAGAACGGGAGCCCGGATGCCCGCCGCAGTGAGGACAGCGGACAGCGGGCAGTGGGTGCCCCCTCTTGCCACAGGGTGAATGTTCCCGGGAGCCCGGATGCCCGCCGCAGTGAGGACAGCGGGCAGTGGGCGCCCCCTCTTGCCACAGGGTGAATGTTCTGTGTTTCCGTTTTTGTGCAGAATGTAGACATCTCGAGGCCTCCAGAGGAAGCCCTTGTCACGGTCCCTGCCCACCAGTGACGGTGTCTCATCCACTGCCACTCCCGGGCAGGTGTTGATCTCTGCAGGCAAGGTCATTCCAGGCCCCCCCGGTCCATGTGACAGTCACCATGCAGGAACACCCTCAAAGCCACGTGTGGCTGGTGGTGCCCAGAACCCCCACCCCCGTCGGCCTGCTTCCTGTTGACAGCGATGGGGTTGTACCCGGTGCCCAACCTGCTGCTAAAAATTACTCAGCCAGACTGTGCCTGCTCCGGACCCGTGAGAAGTCTGCCAGCACCTGGCCCTTCTGTTGTCGCTTTGGGCGTTCTCACCGGTCAGGCTGGCTTCGTGAAGTGTGAAACCCTAAAATGTGAAACGGAAAGCACTTGCTGTGATGTTCCCACCGTGGCCGAGCTGCCTGGGTGGACCTGGGGGCCCCTGCCGGGGTCCTGCTGTCCAGTCTGTGGCCACTCCCTGAATCAGAGGCAAGGTCACGGCTCCTGAGCTCTGCTGCCTCTGGTCAGAGGAGCGCCCTTCCCACCCTGCCTGGCCGGGAACTAGAGCTTCTGCCACCGCAGATGCCTCGCCCGGCCTGACCCCGAAGCCTGGTCTGAGCCACTCAGGAAGGCGGCGTGCTCACTTCGGCAGAATGCGATGCGCAGAGGCACGCAGAGAGCACAGCACTCGCGTCCCCCTGCCCAGTCGTGCACACACTGGAGTCCTGGTGGGAGCTGGGGGCCAAAGCCCCCCTTCCCGACTGCTCTCACGGTGAAACCACTCAAAGACAGGGCGGTCGTATGAGTTATTACCCGCCCCAGCACCCAGGAGAGAGGCTGCTGTCCCCTCTTCGGCCACCTCCCGCACACTGCTGCTCATGTCCACACAGGCGTGTACGGCAGGGGCAGTGACATGCATTTGTTGTGAATGATTCAGAAAAGCTTGTCGTGGTCCTGTAAAGCCTGTCCTGGCATTCGTTGACCTCCACCTGTGGGGCTGAACAGGGGGAAGGCTGGACCCGGAGGCAGCCTTCTCCAGCAAGGATGTTCCCAGACACGTCACAGCTTTCGATTCAGGTGCTTGGGAGCCCGCTGCAAATGACCTCGGGAATTCAGTCACCTGTGATGCCCCGAGTTCGTTTGGGCCCAGAAAGGCAGGCCAGGCAGCAGCTTCCAGCTCCGTTTTATAGCTTGGCAAACACATTGGCCAGCAAGTTGGGGCCTGGGTGAGAGAGACTGGATTTGCAGTCGGATGCCTGCTGCGCACAGGTGGCCTCGGTGAAGCCAGGCC